GTCTTGAATCCCTGGACTCTGGAACCAGAATTATCTTATTAAAATATGAATGGATTATCAAGAGCAGAGTCCTCTGTTTTATTCACTGATGACCTCAAGACCATAGCCAAGCATTTGATCTGTATCTGTTGAATGAGTGAATGAATGAATGAATGAATGATGTCACTCCTGTGCTCAAAATCCTTCAGTAGTATCTCTCTGCCTTAATAAAACTCCTTGGCTTGGATTTCCAAGACCCAATAAACCTTGTAAATGGCTGACCTGGCCTTTTCCTATTTCCTCAGCCTGTCCCCAGGTTTTCCTGCCACACCCTCTACCATCTAGCCATAGTATCTCTTAATTCCTGAAAATCTTCAAGTTTCTGTTCACGTTATTTTCTTTTCCCAAAACTGCATGCTGCTTTGCCTGATTCTTACTCTTCTCTAAGCCATCATCTGATATTGACCTCTTCTGAGAAGCCTTCATCGACCCCTGTAGATGAGGCTGGATTCTCTACTATAGAAGCAGAGATCATGTGTATCTTGCCCACAGCTGCATTCTCAGCGACTAGTTCACAGCAAGTGTTGAGAAATGTTTACTGAATGAATACAAGGTTGTAGGGAGAAATCCATAGGCAGCAGCTGCACAATGATCAAAATGGAAATGAGTATCTGCAAGAAGCAAGGCAGGGAGGAAACAATGTCACTGAAGATCAGCTTGACAGTTCATCAAACACTTATTGCATATATGCCAAGCAGAGGGCAAGATGACTAAATGTCAGCTCTTATATGACTATGCAAGAAGGGATTAATGAACCATTCATTAACTCCTTCAGCATATTTTGAGCCTCTATCAGGAGCCAGATGCTGTAAAAAGTGGTGTGGATGCCAAAACAGATAGATGCAGACTCCCCTCTCTGGTCAAGGTCCAATAAAATCACCCAGACTCTAATCTGACTGCCCACAGTCTGGTATATTTTAGGGAATGACTTTGACCTGGGAAAGGTCCTTTGTCTTTACATCGTCAGAGATCAGTACTGCTGCAATGGCTCTCCTAGACTCAATTTCAAGTGTTACTACAAAACCAAATTAATTTGTGGACATGGACATCAAGATATGGTTTTAGTCCATAGAAAACTCTTCTACTTAGATTTTCAAAACTTTCAGTTCAATCCCAAGCAAGCAATGAACACACATTTTGGTAACTACAGAGCTACTGATAATCTGTAGCAGAATAAATTCCATTTGGAGTCCATTAACTTTTTGGTCGTAGAATAGGGAAAAACTATTTTGAACATCTGAGACCAAGACAAAAAAAAATTAAGTTATTAACCATGGATCTAAATATTTAGGCAGATTATTAGTCTAACAATGAAAAAAAATTTAAACCATAAAAGCTAATTAGTCCTTTAAAACATATCTTATGAAACAAAATACACTGGGATATTAGTAAATGAGATAGGAAAAGGGGACTGAGCATATAATGGGCTAGATGTAAATGCAGGGCAACACAAGGGGAAAAAAATCCAACAAATGATGGCTAGAGTTGTCATAAACTCAGCAATTTCTCATAGGAATTGGATCCTCCGAATCCATGTTTGCTGCCTTCACAAATGCCAAAACACAACTGATAACATTTAACTATAATATCTCTCATATAAGGGCAAGAAACAATGACTCATTCTTTCCTTAAAAAAAAAAAAAGTGCCTAGGGGCACCTGGGTAGGCTCAGGGGTTGAGCATCTGCCTCCAGCTCAGGGCATGATCCCAGGGTCCTGGGATTGAGTCCCCTTGAGTCCCCGCATCAGGGCTCCCTCCTGGGAGCCTGCTTCTCCCTCTGCCTATGTCTCTGCCTCTCACTCTGTGTCTCTCATGAATAAATAAATAAAACCTTAAAAAAAAAGTGCCTAAAATGAAAATCTAAATTGCCAAATAAGGAAAAGGCATTTTTAAGTTTTAGAGGGTACTTGTGTAGGCCTATTTCCCAGTGAGAAAAAAAGGAAAGCTCACAAAAGGTACAAAACGAGATAACTACCATGAAAAGACTCACCAGTAAACACAGTGATTGTGTTGCTCTGTTATCATAAAAGGTCAGCTCTTTCCTTTAAGTTTACCTTCCAGTTCATCTTTAGAAATCAGCATGTTTTGCAGTCTTCAAGCTGTCATTACACTAATTCTATATGGCTTGTATGTTCTTTCTTCATATGGCCTAACATTTAAACCTTCTCAAATCTCTTCTTCCCATATAAAACAAAACAAATAAAACAGATTTACAAATGTGTATGGAAGCTCACTGTATTCCCTCATCTGCCCTTAGGGCTAGACAATTTATAACCAGAGAACAGGATTTGCTATTCAGAGACTGGAGTATCCCAAGACTGGGCTAACTACAACAGAGCTCTGAAATGGCCAACTTAGTACTTGTTCTGTTAAATAAATGGGAAGGAAATAATGAAAAATCCTATTTTTCTCATCATGTACTCATAATAGGATCTTTCCAACAGTGACAATTCTCTATACAGTTATGCAATAGGATGACAAGGTTTTATTTACATGCTCAAAGTAAAGCTATATGCCGATATAAACCAAGAATTCATATTATATTTAAAACACTAGAGTTTGGTGCTCGCTTCGGCAGCACATATACTAAAACACTAGAGTTTGCATGAAATCTCAAGGAGCCCTGAATAACCAAAACTACTGGCCAAAACTGGCGCTTGGAGTATAACCAAAAAAAAAAAAGAGTGAAAGCAAAAATAATGGTGAGACTGCAAAAGCGGATATAAATGAAGATGCTAAAGAACTATTTTTAAATCAAAGGAAAATACTAAGAAAACTTTAATATATCAGAAAATAGATGAAAACATTTTCTAGAAAATAAAGAGACCAAAAGTAATTTGAAGAGAAAACCTGAACATCCCATTAATGAAATAAAATCAGTAGTTCAAAATCTACCCACCAAAAACTCCAGGCCTAGAGCCTCTTACAAGATGGGTTTCTTCAAAACCTTCAAAAACATGCAATCCTTCTCTAATATGGCAAAAGAAAAGCAGCCCAACCATTTATGAGAATGGAACAATGTTTTTTATTTCCTGGGCAATTCAGTGCTAAAGCCATGAAGTAGAACAGAGCAAGATACACGTAGGAGGGGAATGAAAGACAAGAAGCCCAGGAAGGAGCTGGAGCCCAAGCATTGAGGTGGGTGTAAGCCCAAGAGGGCAGCTCCTGTGGGATGTTAGCTCAGCACTAGGGAGTAAAGGGCTCCCCACGTGGGAGGGTGGGGGCAGTCACAACAGGAGACTGGTTACATATAGGGGGATTAATCAAATACACTTGTATAAGGATAATGGGATCTGAGTTACTCATTATCGGAGAGAAGATAGGTACAAATAGAGAAAGGGGGGAAAACCAGAAGAACACTGGTATTAGAATGGAAATGACGTTATCAATATAATCTCAGAGTTTTCAGTAGATAATAGATCCAGAAAGTAAGGAAGTGCTCACAACGGGGGGCATGCTGAAGACAAACAAGTCAGCTTTAAAAGGTTTCCACTGGCCAAATCAGAGATGATTTGAATATCAAAATAAAAGTTTCTAACCCATCAGTCTACAGAGATAAAAACAATGAATCAATTAAAAATTTGGTGCAGAATATTTACAAAGTCTCAATAACAGGAGAAATTGAAATCTTGTGCCACTGATAGGATCCAAAAAGAAGCATCCTTCCTGATAGAGATGGGTAACTTGAATCTGATCATGAAACAATAGCAGACAAACCCCAACTGCAGAGGTTCTACAAAATAACACCTGTAGTCCTCAGGCATCAAGATCATAAAAATCAAGGACTAAGGAACTGTTTGCAGATTGAAGGAGACTAAAGAAACATCATAACTAATGCATTCAAATAGCTTGGAGGGATAAAATTCCTTGCACTGTAATTCCTTACAACTTTTTTAGGTATTAAATCAAAAATAAATAAGTAAATAAAATAAATAAGTGCAATCTCAAAGCCAGTAATGCAATGCAATATAGGAAATTTTTTTTAAATATTTATTTATTTTTTTATGATAGACATAGAGAGAGAGGGGCAGGGACACAGGAGGGGGGAGGAGCAGGCTCCATGCGGGGAGCCCGACGTGGGACTCGATCCCAGGACTCCAGGATCGCATCCTGGGCCAAAGGCAGGCGCCAAACTGCTGAGCCACCCAGGGGTCCCCGCAATATAGGAAAATTATAGGCTAATTTCCCCTTATGACTATTATGACTAAAGACATAAAATTTATAAATTTTTAGCAAATAAAAAAGTTGTTTTAAAATGTATCATTCAAAAAAAAATAAAATAAAATGTATCATTCACAAGAAGAATTTGTCCCAGGATTGTTAGATATCAGAAAAACCTATCAGTGTTACTACCCTAAACTATATCAAAAAGTATACTGAACTTACAGAGTAAAATAAAAATTGAATCACATTAGATTAATAAAAAGCAGGATACAAATTTAAAAAGCTATTCATAATTTGTCAATACTACTAAGCAAGCTAGGAATGGGGGGAAATTTAAAAATACAAGTAAACATACTTATGGGGGAAAAAAACTAAAAGCAAACATAGTTGGTGCAGAACTTTAAAAATGATTCTCTTTAAAAATCAGGAACAAGGAATCAGGTACATCCTTGAAACCTGTTACCATTTCATTTCATGGGACACCTGGGTGGCTCAGTGGTTGAGTGTCAGCCTTCAGCTCAGGGTGTGATCCCGGGTCCTTGGATAGAGTCCTGCATCGGGCTCCCAAGGGGGGGGTGGGTGGGATGGAGGGGGCTGCTTCTCCCTCTGCTTATGTTTCTACCTCCCTATGTTTATGAATAAATAAACCTTTAAAAAGTTTTTTAAAAATCCTACTTCTTTTCAGTAATGTATTGCAGTTCCAGCCAATGCAAAAAAGACAAGACTAAAATAAAAGGTATAAGAATTGGAAAAGAGAAAAAACCCTTACATTATGATGTAATAGAATTATAATAGCATGATATTGGCAAAGAGATAGCAAATAAATCAGTTTAGTCCTAGCCAAAATTTATTAATATTGGATATATTAGAGAACATATTATAAATCAGTATGGATAAACTATGAAAAGTTGGTGCTAGGCAATCCATATAGGACAAACATGAAAATTACACGCATACCTCATATCATATACAAAAATAGATTAAAAGCATTAAATGTGAAAGTCAAAATTTTTAACACTTATTAGGATTATGGAGATTTTTTAAAAGCACTACACAAAAAACATAGCCTTTAAAAATAAAACAGCAATGATTTTGACACATTAAAATTAAATCATCTGTAGGACCAAAAAAAAAAAAAAAAAGAAAAAAGAAAAAAAGGAACAAATAGTAAAATGTGACAAGCTATTTGCACTAGATATAATAGATAATGGATTAGTATGCAGAACATATAAGGAAATCTTACAAATAAAAAATAGAAAAAGCAGAACACAAAATAAGGCAAAAAAAAAAACACAACAGAAGAAAAAATACTTAACGACACTAGTAAACAAGACAAGCAAGTTAATATTACAATAAATTATCACTGTATACCCACAGTAGAAGTGTGGTGATTTGGAAGAACCGAAGTTTCATAAGGGGTGGGAGGGTGGGTCAGTAAAAAGGAACTCTAAAATGTTGGTGGATTGTAACTTAATACAAGCTCAAGAGCAATTTGGCAGGCCCCTGGATAGCTCTTAGTTATTTCTGGCTAGAGAAACTCAAGCATGTGCTTAAGGAAGCACTATACACTGTGGGCAAAAAGCTAAAAACTGGAAAGAACCTCTCCAATCATCAGGAAACGGATAAACTGTTACTTTTTTCTACAGTAAAGAACAACTACAATGAATACATCAGACCTTTGTGGGTAAATGTGAAAAACAAGGTGAGTTAAAAGAGCAAGTTGCAAAACAGTACAGTATAATGCCCCCTATATAAGTCATAACATAAAAGCTCACAAACTACTACTATACATTGTTCACCTATATATATAGTAAAAGTGTTAAACCCAACAATGGAATGATATCCACAAACTTTAACACCTCTGAGAAGGGTAAAAAGACTTAAGGGCTTCATCTGGCCTGTAATGTTTTACATTTTAAAATCCGAGGGCGCCTGGCTGGCTCCGTAGGAGGAACATGTGACTCTTGATCTCAGCGTGGTGAGTGCTGGCCCAAGTTGGGTGTAGAGATTGCTTACAAGAAATAAATAAAAATTCAAAAAAATAAAGAATAAAATCTGAAACAAAATGGTAATTCATTATAGGTTAAGTTATTAACATCTCTATGGAAAAGCATGAGAGAAGAGATGTGCCTCAGACATAACTGATAGTGGGTTCTGAGTAATGATAGTTTTCACCATACAGATGAAGATAACAGTGTTAAAACACTCCAGAAGGAAAAGCAGTCTGTGAGGTAAGGGACCAGTAAGCAGGATGCTCAATGACAAAGTAATTTATACAATGAAATAAAATTTAAGCCAAAAAGAAATACCTTCAAGGACCAATTACATTCCAACAGAATGAAATAAAACTCACTAATCTATCACATTCTTCCATTCCACTGCACCATAGACTCTTCTAGATGGCATTTAGTCCAGGGTTGATCAAATCCACCAATTTTTTTTTAAGCTAAAGTATTTATTTCAAGCTCATTTGAGGGTTAATTTGTAGTACCTTCGCAAACAATTACACTTATTTACCTGCTGAATAATTATTTGTGGAGTCCCTGAATATAAACAGCATTTTGCCAGAGGATATCGAAGGAAACCAATGGGAAGAAACTAGGAGCTCTTTCCTTTGGACTCCTTTAATCCATGTAACAAACTATGATATAGCTACTGTTTTTTCCATTTTACAGATAAATTGAGACAGAGAGAATTTAAAATCTACCCAAATCACCATGCTGAACATAGCATGAGCCCTAATTCAAATCCCACTTGTCAGACAACCTCAAAACCCACACCCTTTCACTATAGTTAGCTCTCAAGCCCAGGGGAGATCTGATGTCTCGCTGTCCGGCTCTACTTTATGTGGGCTATACTGACTATCTACCATGAGTTATGTTTTTCCATGGCACCACACAATAGGCTAGAATACTGACATAATTTTGAACTAACAACTCCTACTCTGTGATTTAGAAGATAATGAGAAAACCTGGAAAAATCACATTTAACTGCTCCAGACCAAGATTAAAAAACAAATTTAAAAAATTAAGGAACAAGTTTACAACTAAAGTCCTCCACACCAGGCACTGCACCAAGAACTTTACATATACTTCCAATATCTAATTACTACATTATCACACATAGCATGAGCATCATCAGCATATTTTACAGGTGAGGAAACATCTGTACACAAGTAAAGTAACCTGCCTAAAAGTCATATAGCTAGTTATGTGAAGCCAGGAGCTGAACCCAGGTAGTCTGATTCCCAATTAGGCAAGGTTAATCACAAACAGTTCTGTCAACTTTTTTGAACCCAGTGAGAAATGTATTTTCTATTTTACATCGTTATCCAATATGCACACACATATAAAGGACCAATCCCTACAAAACACTATTTGGCTTAATAACATGTAGCAAGGAAAAAAATTTTTAAGATGTTAGTTCTGAGTCACGAAATTAATATCTCATGAACCATAACGGAAAAATGCACAATATTTAACTGCTTCAGAGATATACAGTATTTATTACAATTATAGCAGCAAAAAAGGGGGAGGGACAAAAAACTAAATAGAACTAAATGGTCAGCCACAAAACTGAGTGATAATTACGAGTACCAAAAAAGTGCTATTCAGAGAAAATACAATATGCACATTGCTTACATCATGCATAATACTTATATATGGGAAATATATAAATATTTCTTCAGGTGAAAAAGGATGTAGAGAATCACATTTCTATTTTAATTTATACAGACTTTTATTTTAACTTTACAAACTGGGTTAGTTAGGAGACCAAATAATAGCCACCTCGCTTTTATTTTCTTGGCGCCAAAGCAATTTACTGATGTGTTCCTTTTTTAAAACACCTGTCCGAGATCATAGGACAAAGTCTTCCAATCAGCTGGATAAAGCTAGCAAAATCTTTATGCCAAAACATACAGGTCAAACAAATCAAAACAAAAATCCTCTCCTGATTGTTTTTTAGAAGTGGGTCCAAATAACTTACAATATTAAAAGAGAACAGAAGTTTTGCAAACACGTCCTAAAGCCACACACATTTAAGCGTTACAGAAACAGGCTCCCTCCCACCCCTATCCCTTCGCCCAGAGCCTTGGACCTTCTCCAGGGGTCCCTCTGAAAGCCTGGAGCTTCAAGAGGAGGGGGCTGGGCCACCTGTCTCAGGTCTGGCTCTGGCCTCCTCATCTGCCAAAGCCTCACAGTACTGTACTGGCCAGTCCTTGGGGTCCTGATTATGGACTTTGGCCACAAACTTAAGGACTTTCATCTTGCTGGTTTCCAGGTTGGTTCGGGGCCCCCACTGGAACTCATAGTCTACAGGATCGGTGTGGGGTATCCGCCGGTACTCCAGGTAACGCTGCCGCACAAACTCTTCGGTAATAAGTTTCTTTGGGTCCCCGAAAACCAAGTGCTTCTTTGTGGGGTACACCCCTAGGCGACGCAGGAAGTCCCAGACCTCCGTTTCCTTGATGGTGTTGCCCTTCATAAAGATGAGACCCAAAACAATCATGAGGAGGCCGGTGGTGGGCGTGCCCTGGTCGCCTCTCACCTCGGCATCCTCCTCCACCGGCTCCAGGGTGTTGATGAGGATGTAAGTATTGCTCTTGGGTTCCAGCTCCACCAGCTTGTACCCGAAGACGTACTCGAGGCGCTCGGCAGCCAGTCTCAGCAGGTCGGGGAAGATGTCCTTGTAGTCCCCAATGACGTGCTTGAGAATGTCGGTGCGCTTGATCGGGATCTTCTTCTGGTCCTTAATCAGCAAGAACTGCACCAGCTCGGCCACCTTCAGCTCCAGCTGCTGCTGGGACCGGGGCCCCACCTTGGGGGAGGCCTCGGCCCGGCGGGCGCTCTGCGACGCCGCGCCCCGGGCCTCCTGGGAGCCGCCCGCCCCGCGGGAGGTGCTCGGGGCCTCCTCGGCGGCGCCGCGGCCCCAGTCCTTGTCCCTGTCCGCCTGGGAGCTAGGGCGGCCCCGGCTCCTCGGCTTCTGCAACATATCCCCGGCGGCGGGAGCCGTAACGGGCAGCACAAGCCGCGGCAGCGGGGAAGCGGGGAAGCGGGGAAGCGGGGAAGCGGGGAAGCCGGGAAGCCGGGAAGCCGGGAAGCCGGGAAGCCGGGAAGCCGGGAAGTCGAACGCGGCGGGAATTGTGGGTTGGCGCGCAGCGCGTCCCGGCGGCCTTGGGCGGGGCCAGAGCGGCGCGAGCGGCGACGCGGAGACCGCGCTTGCGTCAGAGGAGACTGCGTGCCGCGTCACGATGGCTGCGCGCTGCGTCAGGGGCGTCTGCGCGGCCGGCGCGTTGGCGGAAAGCAGCCGCGTCCCGGCGGTGGCTGTGGTCCTGGTGTCCGGGGTCGTCCTCACCAGACCCCCCAGATAGAGACTAGGAACCAAGGCTCGCAGGCGAGTGTGCGCAGCCAAGCTCAGGACCACACGGGCTCGGGCAAGTACTGCAGAAAGTGAGTACGAAGAGTTTGAAAATCGCGAGTACTTTTAGGTAGAGCGTACTTAGGAGTGTGAATGTGGGGGGGGGGGGAGTAAGGCGAGGGGAGGAGGAGCAGAGCGTGGAAGTGAAGGGAAAGCATTTCCTTCCACACGAAACTACGCGGAAAGGATAAAAGACCCAGCTGCCTCCTCACTTGGCCTGCCCTGGCCACGCCTTTCCCTCGGCTGCGGTCCAGACCCTCCAGAACGTTTACCACCAGTTACTTTCTGTCCGGCCCTTAAGAGTTTATTAAACACGAATGTTTGGTAAAAGCCGGCTTGCCTTGCAAGCAGGATTTCTAAGCACGTTTTCACTCTTTCAGTATTACTACTATTTTAAGGATTTTATTTATTTATTCGTGAGAGACACACAGAGAGGCAGAGACACAGGCAGAGGGAGGAGCAGGCTCCGTGCGCGGAGCCCGATGCGGGACCTGAGCTGAAGGCAGATGCTCAACCACAGCCACCCAGGTGTCCCTTTTTCAGTATTTATGGTCTGTGCATTCAGCTGCCTCCTGTAGGACAACCAGGACAAAACCACACAAAGCATGTGCCAGTGAAGTCTTGGCTTACGTCTTTTGGAAAGCACTTGCTCCTGTAAACTGCCTTGAGCCCGGGATCACCATTTGCACAGAAACGGCCAAGAAGAATGCTACAAACAGAAACGTGCTGTCTCCAGAGATGCCCGCTTTAATTTGGGGCATCACTGATCAAGAACTGGAATAATGTGAATCTCTTAAATTTCTTAATTTTTAATATCTTAGCCCTAAGGCCCCATGAGAAAGAAAGGAGAACCCATGGGTATCATTCCTTATAATCTGTGATGTCTGCACTTTGTCTATATATTTTTAATTGTGCAGCTCTAATAGCCAACAGGAGTCATTTCATTAACTCAGACCATCTGCAGCCTGCTGCCATCACTTCTACAGATCTTAGCAAATGTGTTCCTTTTCTATTTACAGACTTGCAGAGAAGAAACAGTTTCCTACTTTGTCTTTTTTTAAAGCTGCCCAGAAAGCGGGAACACTCTTCAAAGAACCAAATCATATTGAGTTCCTCTTTAATGCAAATATATTCAAAGGAAAGCAATTCAAAACACATTATTTGAATAATAGCACCAAAACACAGCCTTATTAAAATTTCATTAAGTGTTAGTAACATAAAATTTTTGTTTGTAATTCAATATGAAAATGCAATCTGATAATGGCAGTGGGACTGTGAATCTAAATGTAAAATGATATTCTGTGTTGTGATGCGAGTATGCAAATCTGGCAAACTATGAGTAATAACTTTCTGTTCTACACAAGATCTAACAATATATCCTCAAGCATCAATCTTAATGACAGAAGCCTACTAAGAAAAACAAATATATCAAGGCATTCATTTTTTTTATACAATGAGAAAATTCATCTTCATTTTCCTTACAAATACGGACTTCTGTTAAATCTGCAATCAAGAATTCTGCAGAATTCTCCAAAAGGATCATTTGTACCCTGAGTTAAAAAAAAAAAAAAAATCAACCAACAGATAATAGAGAAATGGAAAATGAGATGAAAACCATTGTTAACAATTAGGCTGCATTTTTAGTGTAAATGTGCAGTATCCTTCAGCAGCATTTTTACTCAGCAGATTGTCATACTCAAAATAGGTCAGAAAAGATAACAGGTAAAACTACCTCTCTACACTGTGCCCAGAAGAATGCAGGTGACAAAATACAGACATCTAATAGTATTAGAATGAAGTTTAAGCATCACATGGAGAAGTTACCCAGCCACCCTCCATTTCAGATTGACATGGAAAGCCATGGATGTTTAGGGAAAAACTGTTATGATGATGGTAGTAACAACACTAATAATAATACATGTAAACAGCAGCTCATGATTATTACAAAGGTAACTGTGGGTCAGACTCTGTTCTAAGTGGTCTACATGTATTACTTCATTTAATTACCACAACAGCCTTATGAGGCCTGTGTGTTTACTATGTTTCTCTTCTCACAAAGGGAGAAACTGAGGCACAGAGGGAAATATTAACTGTTTTGGGGTCTTATAGCAAATAGGTGGATCTGGTGGCGGATCTGCTTTTGAATTAAGACAGTGTGCCTGCCTCCAGGGACACTTGGGTGGCTCAGTGGTTGAGCGTCTGTCTTCAGCTCAGGTCATGCTCCCGGGGTCCTGGGATTGGGTCCCCAATCAGACTCCCCTGCAGGGAGCTGGCTTCTCCCTCAGCCTATGTTTCTGCCTCTCTGTGTCTCTCATGAATAAATAAAAATAAGACAGTGTACCTCCAGACACTGTTTTTAACCATATGTTGAAGCAGAGAACATAATACGAGGTCCTTGAGAAAGCAAAGGTCAGATGGATCAGTTAGAAAGCTGTGTGACTTTGGGGGAGCTACTGACGTTCCTTTCTGTTTCCAAATTAACAAGATGAGATAGTAGTCTCCTTATCCAGAGGGAATACCTTCCAAGACCCTCAATGCATGCTTAAAACTGCAGACAGCAATGAATCCTATATGTACTATGCATACATATGTACTTAGGATAAAATTTATTGGCACAGTAAGGGATTAAAATCAAAAACCAATAATAAAATAGCACAATTATAACAGTATATCTAATTAAAGTTATGTAAATAATGTGTCAAAATGTCACCCTTCTTATGATGTGAGATGATGAAATGCCTATGTGATGGGATGAAGTGGGGTGAATGACACAGACACTGATGTAGCCATTAGGCTATTATTGACCTTCTGAGAATATGTTAGAAGGAGTATCATCTGCTTGCAGACCACAGCTAATCAAGAGTAACTGAAAGAGTGAAAAGCAAAACCACAGGTAAGGGGGGCTTACTATTAATAGCCCAGGCATCAAGGAACTAATGAGATACGTTTGCCAAGTACCTAGCACAAGGTTGGAACAGGGCAGTTGATAACAGTCTGCTTCTTTCCACAGGATTTATGTTAAGGAAAATATCTCAGGACTCTACGAAGCTGTATGTAGAAAGATGTTTACTGCAGTGCAACACTTCTACACGCAAAAATGAGAGAAAGGTCTGGAAAGAAACAAAGTGCTATTAAAGTTATTTTCTTTTAAAAATGAAACTCAGTGTTGATTGTCTTGCTTAAGAGATAAATGAGAAATATATTCTCAATGATTTTAACTTCACATTGACACCATGCCATAGCAGTTACACACATTCAAATTTTCAGTAAATTTAGTGTGACTTGAATATGACATTTGTGACTTTGTTCAGCCAGTGAAGAAACAAAGACAGGTAGTTTAAAAAAAAAAAATTCAGCTTATGTTAATGACCTAAACACTTTTATTACTAGACTGAAAAGGGAAAAAAAGAAAAATTCTTGAGGCAAAAATTAAGCTAGCTAAGATTTCAAATGTATTGAACAAAAATGCTTCCCAGTTACCACTTGCTCTTTAGATGTCTCTGAGTAATTAATTGCTTTATTTCATCTCCTTGGTAGCAAATGACTGCCAACAAGCTCTAATCATCTTTATTATCTACTGGATTCTCCTCTTCATTCATTGGTATTTTTTGCAAAACCAGAGAAAGGTTTTAAATTTTCTGTCAGCAACCTAGTGCAAAAAGCAGGTAAGGGCTTTCTGGGTAGAAAAGCAATGATAAAAGGATGCAGCCACCGTATATGAGCAGCTTCACTGCCTTTTCCAGTGAAAGAAAGTGGGACAGTGTGCTGCATGTAAGCGAAGGAGTTGGAGCAGGGGAGGCAGATCCTGTTGTGGTGAGTAGATAGGAAAAGGATTCCGTATACTTTAATGTTTGCAATAAAATCCCTTGTGTCCACTCATTTGTAACAAAGATACATACAAGTTAAATCACACAATAGGACTACTTGATAACACTTTGTCCTTCAAGCAAGAATACTTTAGGTGGCAATAGAGCTTTCCTTGGCTGGTAGAAGGGGGTGAAGAGGTATAGCTTGATGAGATAGCTCCTTTCAAGCACTGCAGCCATTTGGCCCAGAAATACCTTAGACTCTCTTTTCAAGAAATACAAAGCTCCCAGTTACCGAGGGTAACTTTTTACTTAAGAAAATCATTAAGGTCTATTAGGTTATAAAATTACACATAAGGTCTCAATAGTGGCCAATAAGTTTCTTCTTGTTTGCTTGGTTTTGCCTCTTGTTCTGCATCTTTTCCCTTTACAAACTGCTTCTTCCCATCTCTAAGAGACCTTGGTAAGGCTCTACCTGAGTGCATGTGATTCAGGCCAGACACAGTGACTGGTTTAGCAGTCCAGTCAGCATCCTCCAAAGGTTCACATAAGTTCTCTTTTCTCCAAGCTAACAAGCTCAATGGTAATGTAAACCTAGCCACCTTTGCCTTTGCTTGGGTGTAGCCTGCTTCATGGTGAAGCCAACTCAGAGGTCTAAGAGATGAAGAAACAGTCTTAATGCTACCGTCTGATTTCCTGGATCCTGAGTTCAAGATCAGACTCCTGGGTAACTATTTACTGAAGCAAGTCAGATCTTTTGCTTTATCTGCTTCCAGTTGATTCTCCTCACTTGAAACTGGAAATATTCTGGCTAAACAGTTCCAAACTCAATTAAGCAGGAGAAACGAAGGTACTAAGGAAAGAGACTTGGTTTCAAGAGAATGGAGCTAGACAAAGTTATTACC